AAATCCACATATGACAGCGTTGCTCGACCGGAACTTTATCAGGCCCTAAAAGAAATTAATGTCTCGATGGAATTAGTGAGACTGGTTAAGATGACAATGGCGAGTTCAAAGTGTAAATGACACTACCAAGGAAGGAAACAGATGGATTGCAGCTATTAAACGTTGCTACTTTGGACTTATCAAACATTTTAGAAGCAGAATGCTCTCTAACCGGACCAAGATCAAGCTCTATAAAACCCTAGTTCGCCCAGTCGTCACTTATGGCACAGAGGCTTGGGCGTTCACGAACGTGGATGACTCCAGGCTCTTGTCTTCGAGAGGAGCATTCTTAGACGGATTTTTAGCTCTGTTGAATGCCGAACTAACGAGACTCTACAACGATGTTGACAGTCGGAATATTTCGATGGACAGGACATGAGCAAAGGATGGCTGCCAATGAGATTCCGAAAATTACCCTTACGGAAGAGCTCTACGGGAAGCGGCGAGTTGGACGAGTGAACGAGCGAGATGGATGGATTTGGTCTCTGCGGACGCGCGGGCACTTCTTGGAGTCCGAAACTGGAGAGCTGCAGCAAACGGCCGAAAAAACTGGCGGAGACTTTTGGATGAGGCCCAGTCACGGTGACGGGATGCCGCACCACTTATGTATTTACGTTACTGAAAGCGTCTTTTGGTTTTTGTTAATTAAGATACTTTATAGTTCATTTAATAACATAGCCAATACATTTTTATTGATATGTACAAAAATAGAAATCGGTTAATATATAATAACTAAGCAGTGTTTTCAACAAGCTGTGCAAGAAAGGAACATTTTCCAATCCTGTAACATCCAAACGAACTACTCACCAAGGCTTAAAAGTAGTAGAAGATATTCTTGACGTAATAGAAGATTTAACAACCAGCTTAGGAAGAATAGATCTGCATTTATAGTGAAAGAAATCACTGGCACAATTAACATATGATCTGATCTGATTTTAACTCGTTTACAATCTATTGTTAACAAAACATAATGCTAATATATGTATAAAATATTATTTTTTGGTCCAATTTTATTTATTTATAATAAGTTATTAAGTTCTGCGCAGGCGCTAGTATCTATAAACCCACCTGCTGCATCATCTCTCACAAGTATCTTAATTATCAGTGAATTTGTAAACAGTTATGTTAAAAAAATCAGTGTAATTGAACAATTATATAGTACATTCTTGAACAGAACCATAAACACGGTGGGTAACCGCTTGTTTATTAAGTTTAAACAATAGTGTAAACAACCATAGAATTAGATAGAGTGACCATTCTTATCTACAGTTCACCCACTTAGGGCACGGTAGTCTCAGTGCCTGTCGGGCTGTCTAGGAAGCTGGTTTATATCACTCGCCACTTTATCGGTCTGGGTAATTTTTATGTAAAAAAAAAACTTTTTCAATAATCGTTGAAATCATATGATAATGTCTAGTTAGAACAAAAGATCAAGAAGCTTAGGCAATAATAGCTCTCTCAATTTGCCAGTAAAACAAAAGCCTAGGCGTTCTAACAGAAAAACACCACCATCTACACCTGATAGGCCAAATGAACCACAGCCTGGTACCTCAACAGAAATTATGACAACCGAAAAAATAGGAAAATACTTGACTGATACAAAGGCGGAATACCATACAAAATATCAGTTATTCCAAGAGAGAGCACTAAGAGTAGTGATAAGAGGCCTCCACCCATCAACTCCACCTGATGCAATCAAAGAAGAATTGACAGAACTGGGTTTCAGTATCCGCCAAATTGTCAACGTATATAAAGATAACAAAGAGCAACCAGGTACAAACAACAAAATAGCCCTACCACTATTTTTTGTAGACCTAGAGCGCATCACTGGGGTTGATAACATCTATAAATTAAAACGCCTGTACTATACTAGTGCAGTTGTCGAAAAACCATATGCAAAACCGGAAATACTACAATGTCATAATTGCCAATCATATGGCCATACTAAAAGCTATTGCCACTGCTTACCGCGATGCGTGAAGTGCGGGCAGCAACATAAGTCGGAAGATTGCAATAAGTCCAAGCAAACTCCTGCGGTATGCGCATTATGCCATAAAGATCACCCTGCAAACTACAAAGGATGCCAGACATATAAAATCTTCAAATCAAGATTACAGACAGCACCTAGACAGGAAGAGAATTCCAGGACTCACAGACCACCAAGGCAACCCTCAAGATTTGCAAACAAAGAAGTCTCTTATGCTCTAATGTTAGGAGAACTAGATGGGTCACTACCTCATGGTTCACTACCCGAACATAACAACACCCAAAAGTTCAGTCCTCACCAAATATCCTACGTTCCTCCCACTAACAATTCCAGTGACCTTACCAGCCTCCTTACATCATTCCTCTCCGAAATCAAATCCATCACCCCGCTCATCACCTTACTTACAAACGTCATAGCTAATCTTATCCCACCGCCAAGAATTCCTTGAATATCCTAAACAAAACTCCTTTCCATTCTCCTTTGGAATGCGAATGGTGTTCGAAATCACATCAACGAACTAACCTTTTTTCTACAGGACAATAACATAGACATAGCCCTAATAACTGAGACCCAACTAACTGACAAGCGACAGTTCAACATATCTGGCTACAAGATATATCGAACTGACCACCCTGATGGAACAGCACACGCGGTCATCATCCACCAATCCCTCTCCCATCATTTGTATCCCTTACCAGTTCACAATTTCCTACAAACCTCAGCAATAACTATCCAAATTTTACTTTTTCCTGTTACAGTTGTCGCAGCATATTCTCCACCTAAAAACCAAATACCTGAACCTAACTTAATTTCCTTTCTTAATTCCCTAGGACGCCATTTCCTTATAGGTGCAGACCTTAATACCAAACATCAGCAATGGGGAGCCAGAACCACGAATTCCAGCGGGCAAAAATTGCTGTCTGCTATTAATTCCCATAATAGATACATCCTTTCTCCTGATACTCCTACATACTGGCCAACAGATCCTAACCGTAATCCTGACCTCCTTGACTTATTCATTTACGAAGGTCTAGGGCCGCTAAATTTCTCAATTTCACGGATCGATGACCTTTCCTCAGACCATAGTCCGCTAAACCTAACCCTTTCCACTTCTCTTATCCCCAAATTATCTCCTCCCTCATTCATCAGAGGCCCAGTCAACTGGAACCTTTTCCGCCAAACAATAACAGATGCAATAGACCTCAGAGTACCCCTGAAAACCCCTTAAGACCTAGATAATGCAGTGAGTTCCTTCACCACCTTGATCCAACAAGCAGTCTGAACCGCATCCTCACCACTCCCCTCCAAAAAATCCGTCAAAAAGAATCCCTTGTCCCAAAACCTTACTGACCTTATTAAATCCAAACGCCAATCTAGAACAATCTGGCAAAGAACCAGGCATCCTGATGATCGGAAATTATATAATTACTATTCCAAACAGGTTAAAAAAGAACTGGCTACCTTTAGATCCCAATCCTACAATTCCTACATTTCGTCCTTCTCTACCTACAACTCCCTCTGGAAAGTGACAAAAAAAAAAAACCTTAAATATCAATCTATTTCCCATCCACTCCGACGAGATGATAGAACCTGGGCTTCGTCAGATGAGACTAGAGCTAAAGAATTTGCCAAACACCTATCCAATACATTCACACCCCACACCGAACTCCATCCCGCCCACAATGCTGAAGTTAAAGAACTCCTCTCTTCTCCAATTCCTCTCTCCTTGCCTCATAAAGCTGTTAACCCCTCTGAGGCCAAATTCCGCATAAAGAACTTGAAACCTCGAAAATCCCCTGGACACGATCTCCTTACTTCCCAGATCCTTAGACAACTTCCCAAAAAAGCAATCATGTTCCTCACATACCTTTATAACTGTACCCTCCGCACAACTCACTTTCCTCTGATATGGAAACACTCCATTATTATCCTCTTCCCTAAACCAGTTAAACCTGTTAATAATATCTCATCCTATAGACCAATAAGCTTACTTCCGATCCTCTCAAAAATCTTTGAAAAAATCCTTCTCAAACGTATCCTACCGATTGTCGAAACCCATAATATCCCCTCCCATCAGTTTGGATTCCGCTCAAGACATTCCACTGTTCAAAAGGCTTCCGCATTGTTGACCATATATCCTCTGCGCTTGAAAACAAGCAATATTGCACTAGTGCCTTTCTGAACGTAGCGCAAGCTTTCGACCGGATGTGGCATGATGGCTTGCTTTTCAAGCTCAAAATTCACTTACCCCAATCCTTGTAACTAGTCCTCAAATCCTACCTCTCAAATCGTTCCTTTCAAGTCCGCTGCGGCACTGAATTCTCCAACTATTATCCAGTTGAGGATGGTGTTCCACAAGGCAGTGTCTTGGGGCCCAGTTCTCAACATCCTTTTCACAGCTGACATTCCAACCCATCCTAATACCCTTCTAGCAACATTTGCTGACGATGCCGTCATCCTATCTTCCCACCCAGACCCTGAAACAGCATCCCTAAACCTACAAAGACACATCACCCTAATAGAGCAATGGTGCAACAATTGGCGCATCAAGATCAATGAATCCAAATGCAAGCTTAACACAAAATCTAACCTCTCAATTGAAAACAAACTATTGATATACAAGACCATACTGAAACCCATCTGGACCTACGGACTTGAACTGTAGGGGACAACTAAATTTTCGAACATCAAACGCATCCTTCCAGTCTAAAGTCCTCCGTATAATAGTCAATGCTCCTTATTATGTTACGAACACAACCTTACATCATGACCTTAACATCCCTTATGTCCTTGACGTTATTCCAACCCGATTTTCAAATTTTCATTAGAACCTAACCTGTCATCCTAATCCCTTAGCACAATCCTTATCCAGTTCCAGTCATCCCTACAGTCTCCATACTTTCATAATTACATTTATGCATAATTTTATTTACTGAACTACAAATAATTTAAATTAAAGAAGATAAAAACGTACTCGGTTATTCTCATCTTGAATAATCAGCAAAACTTTGACAAATTTTATTGAGAATTTCAAGGCGATACGGTGTAAGACTTCCATATTTCCAGGATGCCTGGCCCATATATCCTCCATTGTGTTGTTAGTCATGCCGTCTATATAGCTCCTATCCATGAAGTTCCTGGAACCTCTAAATGTCTCGATTAACATCATAGCCAATTGTTCCTTGTTGTCAGTTGATATATATGGCAATGCTGGTATCTCTGTATAACACTGACGGATTGGTTCGTATAAATTATGCTTTTCTAGCAAGAATTCCACTTCGAATTCTAACTCTCGGCGTTTATAACGTGTTGTTAATCTTCTTTTTTCTAAACTTTTTAGAACTTTGTTTTGTAAAGCTTCCATGGTCATAAAAGTGTTGTAATAATGGAACCTGAAAAATAAATTCATAAGCTTTAGATGTACCTAATGTAATTTGTAAACTTTTTTGTGAATTAATTAACAGATCAAAATTGTTGTATTTATATGCACAGGCACCAGCAATGGGGAAGGGGAGAGAGAGAAGACGAGAAACTACCTGCTTCTCCAATATATTATAAGGAAGGGCTTACCCCACTAATATTTCTCAGTGACAAATAATAACCGAAACACGTAGAGGTACCCACCCTTCCCAAGGTCGATGGCGCAAGAACCTCCCCGCACTCCTCCAAAGATATGTTTTTCCCTTCTAATCTTAAAAACAATACGATGGAAAGTAGAATTTTATAAAAATTGGTCTATTCCATGTTTCTCCCTTGTCCCTTGGTTTGAAAATTTTCATTTGAAATTCATAACACCGTCAAAATGTGCCTCCCCCCTAAAACATTTTGATTTTTAAACTAATTGATTTCTTGTTCTCAACTCGTCTCTCAGATTTTGCTTATTTTTCAGCGGAATCTTTCTGATTATTCACTGAATACAGTTCAACTGTACATCAGAGCAGTTGATATTTACTGTTTGATATATATTTTTTTAAATTAAAAATTTCTTTTTTTCCCTTTTCCTTTTCTTCTCTCATGATATGCAACATTGATATGCGACCTAGTGATGTCCAGTAAGGTGCCCACTAAGTGGACTCAGTCAGATGGAGTTAGTATTCATCGTGATTCACCAGCCAAATAATGAACTCGTCGCTGCCTACTAGAAACCACTCCAATAACCAATGCGAACACTTCAGATCCAAAACCTCAGCCTCAGCCAAGTACGTCTTCACAGGAAATGGTTAAAGAATCCCCTTTCTTTACTCCAAACCCGTTCTAAGAGCTTCAGAATGACCGAGAAGTAATGGAGTCAGCAGCAATACCCAGGGAACCAAGGCCTCCTCCGATATTTGTAAAAAATATAATCAATTTCAAATTATTGTGTACACAACTAAACAAAATCTGCTCTGGCAGTTATTCTTGCCTCAATCGGACCAACGATACAAAAATAACACCAGATACTGCAGAAACCTACCGAAAAATTGTGAAGTACCTGTCAGAAACGAATGCAAATTTCCATACGTACCTGCTGAAACAGGAGAGATTATCATTTTGCACTCCTCAACCTCAACTGAAGTGATAAAAGAAAAACTAATGACGCTTGGTTTCAAAGTATGCCAGGTAACCAACGTTCTGAAGGAGAATAAGGAGCAGCCAGGAGTAAAAAATAAAGTTCTACTACCTTTATTTTTCGTAGACCTAGAGCCATCACTTGGTATAGAGAAAATATTTGAAATCAAAAGATTGTATTTGACTATCGTGAAGATAGAGAAGCCATATCCTAAGAAGGAAATCGTGCAGTGCCACAATTGTCAGGAATATGGCCACACGTAGACTTACTGCCACCACTTGCCGTGTTGCATGAAATGTGGTGAACAACACAAATCAGCAGAGTGCAAGAAATCGATACAAGATTATCTATGCCTAGAAGGACATCCGGCCTACTACAAAGGCTGCCAAATTAATAAAAATCTTAAATGCAGATACCAGAAGAACCGGATTCATGACAAGACAACCAGACCAAGAAGAGAACCTTCTAGAATTGTTAATAATAATCTATCATTCTCCTAACTACTTGGAGGTAAGAACTCACCTAATAAATGTGAAGCCATGCAGCAACTACCGCAACGCCAACCTCAATATCCTGTTCATCCTAACATATCTAGCCATCAACAACATCAAATTCCACACATTCCTCCTCCCTCAAATGTTACAGATCTCACCAGTTTGTTGTCATCATCCCTCATTGAATTCAAATCAATGGTTACCCAACTCATATCACTCCTTACAAATCGTGTATCTCACCTCATCCCTCCTGTGAAAAATCGTTAAATCACTCCAATCAAACACATATCTATTCCGGATTGGAATGCGAATGGTGTTAGAAATCACGTTGTCGAACTAACAACTTTACTATTAGACAAGAACATTGACTTAGCCCTAATTACAGAAACTCGACTGACCAGTAAACAGCATTTAAAAATTGCACAGAAAAAATTCGAAAATTCCTAAGAAAAATAATTTGCCTCAATACCTGCTTGACCTAATTCACATCAAACGCCGTGCCAGAATGTTATGGCAACGTTCAAGAAACCCCACCGATCGCTGCTCTTATAATTTTTTGCAGTAAACGATTAAAGCAGGGATTGGCCACCTTCAACTTCTACCTTACTTCCCTCTCTGTTCATGACAGAGAGATGCGATGGCTCCTGGGCAGCCACTGATGAAGACAAAGCTAAAGAATTTGCCAGACACCTCTCTCGAACATTCACCTCTTATCCGAAATCCAACCCCACCCATTACAGTAGAAGAATTTCTTACATCATCCATTCCACTTTCCTTACCCCCTAAAGCAGTTAATCCTACTGAGGTCAAACATCACTTCCTCAACTTACAAAAAGTTCCTCTCCGTAAATCTCCTGGATAGGACAACTTGCTCCTAAAGCTCTTATATTTCTCACTTACTTATATAATACCATCCTAAGCACCACTCACTTTCCTCTTTTGTGGAAACATTCCACTATTATCCTGTTTTCGAAACCAGGCAAACCTCTCAAAACCTCGTCGTCCTACACACCAATTAGCCTACTTCCAATCCTCTCAAAAATCTTTGAAAAGATTCTCCTGAAACGAATTCTACCCTTTATAGAATCCCAAAATCTTCCTTCCCATCAGTTCGGACTTCGTTCAAAACACTCTACAGTCCAACAAGTACTCCGAGTGGTCGATCACATTTCCGTAGCACTGGAAAGCAAGCAATATTGCTCCGGTGCATTTCTGGACATAGCTCGAGCTTTTGACCGGGTATGGCATGCCAGGCTTCTTTCCAAGCTGGAAAACCATCTACCCCAGTCCTTGTACCTAATTTTCTGCTCCTTCCTCTCTGATCGCACCTTTAGAGTCAACTGTGGTATAGAATTTTTCAATTCCTACCATTTTGCTCCGATCTATGTAATCAAAAAAACCCTACATCACGATCTTATCCCTGAAATTTTTTTCCAAATTCCATCACAACCTTATAAATCATCCAATATCCCCTAGCACAATCCCTATCTAGTTCCACTCATCCCTACAATCCTCCTCGAAGGTTGAAGCGGCAGTGTCCCAGAGATCTTTTTTTGTATAAATCTTGGACTTATGGCAATGGCTAGATTATCCACTCAAGACATGAGTCTATGTGGCTAAAGCGCAATCACTCAAACTCCACTGGCTTTAGAACAAGTGAAGCGGTTGAAAGAGTAGTGCAGGGATCTCTTTGAGTCCTGCATTTCCTTCTATAGTTGGAGGGAGAAGCCTGGCTTGTTATTTCCTGCCTGTTTGTATATATTGTATATAGGTATGACTGTATTTTTATGTTTTTAATTTACTTATCTTTAGGTTATTTTATTTTTTATTGAACATAGTTTTTGATTATTATTTATTTATTATTTTACTTTTATTAATTTTATATTTTCTGTATATATGGTGTGAATTTGTTCATATACCACTATAATTACTGTCCACGTGACAGATTATTATATTTATAAATAAAAAAATTGCTTTCTAATCCTTCCTAAAATGATACCCAAATACTCGAGCCATTTCACCGTGTGTTCCTCTTATAATTAAAGGCGGTTCTAGTAGGGGACGAGAGGAGGGGATAACTTTCTAGTCTTTCTACTTTCTAGGGGAACTAAAAGCCTCCCTCTCAAAATAGAAAAATTAGTTCCGTCATTGGTCCATATTTGATACTATGAGTGATATGAGCTAATAATTAAAAAAATGACAATATGTTCAATTTTTTAAAATTATAATGCGTTTACAGCTACAAAATATTACCATGTCTTTACCAAAAAAAAAAAGTATAAGTACTATTTTACGTGTGATTACCTTTTTAAAAGAACTGCAAGAATCACTTAAACAGCATTTCGTGTAGGTAGTTAGTTTCTTTCATTTTTTTAAAAAGTAATTATCGTTAATATATATATATATATATATATATATATATATATATATATATATATATATATATATATATATATATAAATATATATTTAGGATCATTTGTACACGCCTTCGTCAACCTCACTAATTTCCCGGGAACACCCAGCTCAGTCATGATCTTCCAGAGACAGTTTATTTCAACGGAGTCATAGGCTGATTTGAAGTCGACAAATAATGCGTGTACGTCCTGATCTACTTCCCATCGTTTTTCAAGTACTTGTTTCAGGATGAATATCTGATCTAGCGTACTCCTCCCTCTCCTGAATCCTGTTTGATGGTCGCCTATAATGTTCTCATAATACGGATATATCCGATTTAACAGAATATTAGTCATTATTTTATAGGTGACCGGAAGAAATGTTATGCCTCTGTAATTACCACATTCATACATGGAGCCCTTCTTAAGGATAGGTCATATCAACCCTGTCTTCCATGCTTCTGGTATCCGTTCCTTCTCCCATATCTTCTGGATTAGATCTAACAGCTTGGCTCTGAGTTCTTCTCCCCGATCCTGAAACAGTTTTGATGGTAGGTTGTCGATCCCAGGAGTCTTTCATCTTTTAAGCCTGCCGATAGCTATTTCGACATCCAGAATATCTGGTTTATCAACCTCAAGTGGGTCGATGTCCTCAGTGTGGTCCATGTCTTCTTCATTTGTGGGGTGCCCTTGGTTAAGCAACTGCCCTGGAAGTGTTGCTTCTAGATGCTTAGGTTCTTTTCTTTTGATGCTATCAATTTGCCATCTTTCCCTCGAATTTGTGTATTTCTCGCTTTATATCCTACCATTTCTTTCCTAATATCTGCGAAGAATTCGCATATATTTCCAGGCTGCCAGATTTCCTCAATAGTTTCTCTTTGAGGAATTCTCTTTTGGCTGTTCTTATTATTTTGTTTGTCTTTTTCCTGGCAGCTGTGTATTTGTCCAGCATAGCTTGATCAGTTTGTAAGCAGAGGATTTTTCTTCTTACTTTTCTTCTTTCCTCCACCGCCTTTTCGCATGCTTCTGTGAACCATTTCTTGGCTTTTCTTCATGACATAATCTGCGTGGATTCCAAGTCATTCCCGAAAGTAGACAGATACAAATACCTTGGCTACACAATAACCTCAATAAATGATCAACTAACAGAGATAGACCAGCGAATAACCAATGCGAACAGATCTTTCTTCTCTCTTTCAAAGGTACTGAAATCCAGAAAAATCTCCAGAAATCTCAAAATAAGGGTGTACAACGCCGTGATTAAGCCAGTTCTGATGTACGGTTGTGAAACCTGTTTTCTAACAAGCACATTAGAAGCCAGAATTGAGAGATTCGAAAGAAAAGTTCTACGTAGGATAACAGGACCTATATGGGACCAGAACCTTGACACATGGAGGAGAAGGAACAATAAAGAACTGTTAAAAGAAATGGGTCAGTCAATATCTCATGACATGAAGGCAAGGAGGTTAAGATGGGCAGGGCATGTAGCTCGTAGTAATCCATCAGGACACCTCTAGACGACAATGAATGCCAGAGTAGTAGGCAAGAGACCACGTGGGAGGCCAAAAACCAGATGGATAGATAGGATAAACAAAGATACGGCTGAGCTCCATGCAGCAAGCTGGAAAGCAGTAGCCCAAGATAGGCAGAGGTGGAGAAAGCTGGTTCAGGCGGCCAAAGATCTAAAAGAGCTGTAGAGGTAACCGAAAAAAAATAATATATATAAATAGGGACTTTATATTGGCTGGCAGGAAAACATTCCTCCGGGTATATCTTAGTGGAGACGACTGTCCTGGCTCGCAATTCAGAAGAGAGTGGTAGTAAACTAAAATACGTATGACTAGCTTCTGATAGATTGCGGTGCAGAAAAGACGATAGACACCGTGTGATATACATCGAGCAACAAAATGATCTTGAGGTTTTCTGCTGACTTTGGACTTACTTCAACCTATAGCTCGTAGCCGTAAACTTCCAACTATCTTCTACTATATAATACGTCACTGTGTTGGGTGACCTATCTATAATTATTATTTATCTATTTTAATCAATGTTTTTTTTTTCTCTTTCTCAAATTTTTTATCATAACTCTTAGTAGTTTTTCTTCTTTTACAGCCATTATTTTCTTCTTTCCAAATATATTCTTATTGCTTTCCCTTACATCCAGCTTCCATCCATAGTATTATATGTACTTTTCTGTTTTCCGCTGTGTCTAGCGTCTTAATTACTTGTCAGGTAAATTCACAACCCCTTCCTGTACACTATGACGAATTTCTCCAATATTTCGCCCTCAATTTTTACCACATTATTGCAGTCACTGAAATATGGCTTAAGCCTAACCTGATTATACCTTCACTCGCCATGATCGGATGTCCCGGAGCGGTGGCGGCGTTGGTCTAAATGTCCATAGCCTAAAAACGCGTATCCTAGATATCTCATCCTCTTCCAATCATCCTCACATTGAATTTCTCTTCTCTGAAATGTTTTGCAAAGCACATCATCTCCTTTATGTGGTGGTATATTACCCTCCTTTGACCCATCCTTCGAATCAACCTTGTACAATTATGTTCCTTTTTATAATAATATAATAATTTCCGAAGATCTTAATACCAACCTCCTCTCTGAATCCATCAACAAACTCCTTCATCCAACAACTTACAAAACCTCTTTTTCTACCTCAACCTTTTTCTAGTTTCTTTCGGAGCGATATCTACTCTTGCATCTCTATTGATCCTATAGCAGACATCCTCACTTCTAACGTTATTCATATCCTTGACATTCATACTCCTATTAAAACCTATATAAATGATGTCCCCAAGTTCATCTTTACCACAGATCATACCATTTATACGCTGAAAACTCCCAAATCTATTTATCCCTTCACCCTTCATAGCTATTAGTCGCGTTCGCCAATATTCAGGCCACTTAGATAGGATCAGTGCCTGGGCAAGTATGAATAATTTAAAGCTAAACGCGATGAAAACTCAGGATATTGTTATAGGTTCCAGGTCTCTCCATAAATCCAACTCTTCCCTTCCTCCTTTAGTCATCAACGAGCATCCCATCGCTTTCAGCTCCTCCGTTAAAAATCTAGGAATCGCTATTAACGAAAACCTGGAAACCCCATATTGGCCTCATCTACTGAAGGTCAATAGGTACCCTTAAGTTATTTCATCATTCCTGTCACCTTCTCCCACAACCTATCCGCAAGTTCCTTGTGTCCTTTCTTATTTCCCCCCACTTTGACTACGGCTGTGTGGTGTACGGAGGCATCCCGATGATACTCGAGAATAGATTGAAGCGTCTTATGAACTCCTTAAGATTTACCTTCGGTACTTCCGATCGGTCTCATATGTCCCACCTTTACGACGAGTTACAGTGGCTCTTCCCTTCCTTTCGCCAACAATATTTCCTTTGATCTTACCTATTCTAAACGATCAACTCCCGACACTTTTCCTACGCCTACATTCACCTACAGTTCAGACCCGTAATCCACTCCCAGAAGGCAAGATTACGTGTTTCCGACCTTTATATCCCTTCCCGTAGAACTAAAACATTTCAACATTCCTTTACTGCCCGATCCATTTACTTCTGTAATTCCTTGTAATCCGATATTCGTCACGCCTCTTCCTTGTCCTCATTCAAATACCATATCTAGCAATTCCTTCTCACGTCCCAAAATGAGGCTGTACAATCATGAAATAAATTTTGACTGAAGTGAATGGTTTTTGAAATTGTTTAAGTTTAAATCATAAGAATCAACTCATAGTGCTTATAACATTTTGTTTCTTATTCTCTCTGATTTCTGTTTTCATTTTCATTTCATTAATGTTTTTGTTTTTTTTCAAACTGTTTTCAATTTCTGATGCTCATATATTTTCACAGAAGATATTGTATAGATTCTTTAATTTTTATAATTGTAGTTTTTGGCCAGATATGGTTTATATTTTTTATTCATAATTGTTATTCTGAAGAGACCTTGTCCCAGAATAAAGTTTGTTTTCTATTTATATTCTCTATATATAAGCTTAGGAGCTGAAACCCATTAAAATTAAATCCTGGATCCGCTAATGCCTGTAGTATTTACATTATTAGTAGATGGTTAACCAGGCTTACGGAAGAGAATAACAGCAAAATGTTTCCATAGTCGGATAGATACAAATCGGTTATCTTTTGTAATCAACCACGTATCAAGAAAAATTAACAGTATACTTAATAATACGATTGATTGTTCCTGTAATCAGTAGCGGATTAAAGTTTTGAAAGGAGGAGGGTTTTTTCTCTTTTTCTATAATGGTAACTACTCTGAAAAAATAAATAAAACTATATGAAGTGGTGTTAACGTGGCCTGTACACACAAAAAATAAATAATAATAATAAAAATTCGGTAATTATATGAACAGTAATATTTAAAGGAATATTTTTTTGAGATTTTTCTTGACACATGCTTACATTAAGTAGCTGTATATGTTTTATTATTTAAAAGGGAAAATTATGACTAGATCTCATTATGAAATGACTCACATAAACAAATACGGACCAATGAAAAAAATGGTTAACAAAATTGAAAAATATCAAAACTAAATTTCTAATGATTCATTTTCACAGCGCGAAATCGTGTAAAAAACAACTTGTACAAGAACAAGAACTCATTTGACAGTTTCCCATCAACTGAAGTCATTATTCATTTTATGTAGTTCTGCGTATACTTAAGTAAAGAATTTCAATAATTTTACATAGTTCTAAACATTAGCAATAAGTACCGCTAAATAAATAAATAAAAACAGAAACGGATTAATTAAATTACATTTTAGTCAAAACTTCATGTCCATCTCTTAATAGATCCAACACGATATCTTTAGCGAAATAAAGTTGACTTATCACTTTGGATATTCCAACTGTGAAATAGTATCTTGTTCGAAGGTAAAACCCCATTTCCTTGGCGGCTGCTTTCAATTCCATGTACCTCATTTGACTCACTCCGAATACCTAAGAAAAACATGAAATGATATTGTAAATTGTTACACCAACTTATAGAAATATAAGGTAATAAAATTGATTCTATTACTTGTAAAAAACGTTGCTCTACAGCATTTTTACGAGGGACGTATCTTTCCTGGAACACCATCTTCTCTACGGCCGCGAAGTACCTTGGTATGATCACGTTGTCATAATTTTTTATCTTATGATAATATTCAGCGAGTGGGACCAGAATATTTAGGAAGTATTTTCTCTTCTCAGCTAATCTGCGGTTGACAATCTTTCGTTGAACTAAAGCATCTTTGAAAGCAAGGGCCCCTCTCATCTAAAAAAAATTAACGTTGAAGGTATATACAATATATATAGAACTTGATTACCAAGATGTAATTTTAAGTTTTATTTTAATGAAAGAAAGAACCAAATATGGTATTAAAATTGTTATATTCTTAAAATATTATCATCTATATTCTTCTAAATAATAAGAAAAAAACAAAAAAAAAAACATGATTCTTGTCTTCAATGATGTTTGTAAAAAAAGAATAATATATTTTCGAAAACAAATGTAAAACCATATTCAAATTCTGGATTATTTTTATCCTAGTATATTAAAAATAGAATTTATTTTTTTGTTTTCATTACACAGCTATCATAGGCATCCTCTTAAATATGCAATATGTAAATTTTCCTTAACTTTATAGACAGCATCCATTCCTTCCATCTTACAAGCAAATAACTTAATAAATATGGATTTTGTGATGATTGGGAAAAATTTATATATCTTTTTAGGAGTATAAAATCATAAAAACAGCATACAAGTTTATGTTTATAAAATTTTCAACTAAGAAAATTAAAACTGATTATCAGGAAACAGTTTGAATTTTGAGACAAACGTACAAACAAGTTTTTTATATTTGAGGGTCGAATCTGTACCAGGGTTGATCACGTTAGCTTATAAATTGAATTTTTGTATACAACATTCATTATTTATTTTCCTTGAATCATCCAGTTGATTTATACCAGTGTTGGAAAAGAAAGTGATCAGTTGCACGTTAGAGCCTTTCGCAAGCATCGTTCGTTTAGTTAACGAATCGCAGGCAGTGAGGACCAGGGGTGCCCACAAGGGGGTTTCATGGTGCAAGTTGCGCCATCAAACTTTTTGAGGGGACACATTTTGACGGGGTTTTGAATTTTTGAGGGGGGCACATGAATTTAAGTATTAAAAAGTTTCAAACCAGAGGCAAAGAGAAAAGCATAGTACAAACCACATAAAGTGTAATTGTATATGACCTATGATTTTAAAAATTATACTTTATCTTGCACTGTTTTTAAGAAGAGAACATAATTAAAATATCTTAGGAGAAGGAGGAGGGGAGGAGGTCATGCGCCATCGACCTTGGAGGGTATGGGCACCCCTGGTGTGGACTTTAAAAGTAGCACTTTTATTTATTATGTCTGCTACATATGGGATCTTATATAGTGCATTGTACCATAAATATAAGGGTCATCTGAGCTATATGAAGAATAATTACTAAGTAATCAATCAATTACTAACTGCCGTAAGAGGTCCGCCTTTGGCTGAAATCTGTTAATATTCCTTAAGCGTTGATAATGTGTCCAGTCGGTACCATTTAAATAACTGTTTCTAAGCTACAGATGGATAATGGAGTGAGACGTGTCAGTCTGGCAGCAGCTAAAGGTCTAGTAGTGAGCAGTACGATGTTTCCGCTCAAAGACGTACATAAGTACAGTCTGGCCAGAGACGGCAGTGAGTAAACATCTACGGAGCGCTTTCTTTCAATTTCATATATTGAGCCCAATTTTGTTTTTTCTTTCTTTGTTTTTTTTTCTTAACAGTGTCATACTATCGTACGTAATCTTTAATACTTCTTATATTTACGTATTTTCACGCTGCTCAACGTAAAGAAAATATAGTGAGATTTCTACGAGCCCTGTGATTGTTAAGCTAATAATCCTATTAGTATTAGCAGTAGTTTGCTTGGTGGATCACAACATCAACTTCACTTGACATTACCTGTAAGTTATTTTTTATTATTAAAAATGGTCCAGTGCACGATTTGTAATAACTATTGCCCGTGAAGATAAATACAATTTATGTTGTACCAAGTGCAAAGTTATTTATCACGGCAAGTTTTTTAATCTCACAGACAAAGAGATAGAAGCTCAGTGAAGTACAAAAAAAAACATGGATGTGCCTAAATTGCGATCAAACAAAGAAACAAAATTTAAACAATGAACCGCATGTATCAGAAATATTAGCAGCAGTTAATAGACTGGATAGTCATATTAGTGAGGAAATAAGGGATATCAAGACAGCCCCCGATAAATATGGAGACCTCAGCTTTGAACTGAATGAGAGGTTATCGAAATTAGAAAAACATCTCGAGGGCCAAGCCAAACATTTTGAGGAGATAATTTTGGAAAATAAAGCCCTCAAAGCTCGAGTGGGCGATTTAGAGATCCGCCTGAACAAAACAGAACAGGGTCAATTATGTAGATCGCTGGAGATCCATGGGATACCAGTGCGAGCAGGCGAGACGCCCGCGGCTCTGGTGACCAGTATAGCCGCGGGGCTGGGCATCAAGCTCGGAGTGGAGGATGTGGATGTTGTGCAGCACCGCAGAAGAAAGAAGGATGACCCGCGACCGCCGGCGGTAATAGCACATTTCGTCAGGCAGTCAGTGAGGGACGACCTGATAGCGAGAAGGAAAGTGAAGAGGGATTTCTCGACGCGTGATATCGGGTGGCAGGAAAACGACTGCCACCGAATTTATCTCGGCGAGGAGATGAGCCCAACAAACAGGCACCTCTACTGGCTAGCCCGGCAGAAGAGAGCTGCCGGGAAGATAAGATACGTATGGTTCGCTGCCGGCATTGTGCGTTGCCGAAAAGAAGACGGCTATCAAGTAATCTTGATTAATCAGGCATCGGATCTAGATGTTTTCGCCTGACTGTACAGGTTTCATCACTTCTTCTCGTTCATCAAAGTATTTTCTGTCTTCATTGGTGCCCAAATAACTTTGAAGATTTTGGTTAAAACTTCTCATAGCTCCAATTTACTAATTTGTTTATTTTCTTACTCTTATTGCTCACTTATTTTTTCATTATTCACTTTTATTTTGCTTATGCAGTACTTTTCATATTTTTTTTCAGAATATGATATATAGCCTCATTTCCTCTATGCTAATTTCTGACTGTTCCCCATCAAATCCTCCCCATGTCTAGCATCCTAACCACCTGTCACGTTAACTAGCAATCCCTTCCCGCCCATTATGATGAATTCCTGCAGTACTTTTCTCAAAACTTTTTTCACATCATCGCAATCTCAGAAACCTGGCTCAAACCCTATATTCCGTCCTCATCTGTCTCCTTACCTAATTACACCCTCATCCGCCACGACCGGGTCAGTCGGACTGGTGGTAGGGTGGCCATATTTGTCCATGATAGCCTGAAGTCCCAAATCCTTGATTACTCCCCACCCTCCGAACATCCACAAGTGGAGTACCTTCTAGTAGAAATTACCTGTAATAATTTCCCTCTCCTTTACATAATGATCTGCCGTCCTCCCCTTGTTCCATTTGATCCGTCCTTAGAATCAACACTACTCAACTTTGTTCCCCTCTATCCTAGAATAATCATCGCCGGTGACCTCAATACCAATTTCCTTTTTAATTCCAAAGACAAAACCTATCTAGAAAACCTATTTTTTTCTCTTCATGTCTTTATTGTTCCTTTTTATCCTACTCACCACACCCACAAGACCGACACTTGGTTTGATTTCTTCATTATAGACTCCGAAGTAATCTCCTATCCTCTTCTCAACTGCCAGTATCCTTCTTATCGTCTCACGACATGATCCTAATAACATATAATATCCAAACCCCTCTGATTCATCCGAGAACCTTCACTTTTCAGATAGACACTCTCACCCGTGAAAAAATACTACCTGACCTTGAAACCTTAGACTTGAACGAAATATATTCCTGCTCCTCCATCGACTCCATGGTTGAGATCCTGCCTTCCAATCTCCCCAATATCCTTAACACCCATGCTCCCATAAAAACCTCAACCTTTCGCCGCCGGCACCTTGGATGTGTCAAGAAATCAAGGATCTACAGAAGAGGCGTGATGCTGCCCGTAGACGCTTCAGACGTACCAGGCTTAAAGATGACTATCAAGCGTTTAGGTTGCTCCGCAATTTGACACGAACAAGAATTCGGCGAGCTAAAGCTTCCTACTTCCATGAAGCCCTGTCATCTGCCCCAGATCCCAAATCTAAATGGCTAATCCTTCGCAAACTTTCCCTCTGTGAACCTTCCAGATCCCCATTCTCACTGGTCTTTTCCGTTTCACCTGACGATTTAAACTCACATTCTATTTCTGCATCCTCTAACTCTTCTCTTCTCTCCCCTTCCAACTATGCTCCTGAGTCATCATTTAATGATGATGATTTTTATTTCTCCAACATTTCCCCGATTGACTTACTAACCGCAGTAATGAAATCCCACACCAATTCCATAGGACCAGATGGCATTCCTGTCAAATTGATAAAATTATGTCTCCCCGAAATCCTCCCAGTTCTCCTTTTCATTTACAATTTCTCCCTACAGAACTCAATAATCCCTTCCTCTTGAAAAAAAAACCATTGTACTCCTTTTAAATAAAAAGCCTAATCCATCCTCTCCCGAAGACTTTCGCCCAATCTCAATATTTTCCAATCTCTCAAAACCCCTAGAAAGATTGGTGCAATCCCAAGTTTCCAACTTCCTCGAAAAGCCTAAAAAACTTGATCCTCTCCAATCTGGTTTCCGTCCCGGCTACTCCACACAATCCGCCTTAATCAAAATTACCAATGATGTTCAGACTGCAATAGATAATAAACAACTAAATGTCCTTATACTTCTTGACTTCTCTAAAGCCTTCGATTCCATTAACCATCCCATCCTTTTCAACAAACTAAAATCACTCTCCTTCTCCAATAGCTCCATCTCTTGGTTCCAATCTTTTCTCTCACAACGCACCCAAGCAGTCTCCATTCCTAATCAACCACTATCTGCCCACCTGCCTTTATCTTCTGGAGTTGCCCAAGGATCTAGTATACCTCCTCTCCTTTTTAGTTCCTATATTAATGACCTCCATGACTCAATTCTCCATTGTTCCCACCACCTTTATGCAAACGATTCTCAAATATACCTATCCTTTTCTCCCCCTGAGCTATTGGTAGCATTTACTAAGATCCAAGCAGACCTAGATCGAATCTGTGCCTGGGCAAACTTAAACGGTTTAAGGTTAAATGCTTCAAAAACT